GAAATTATAACAGTTGTGGGGGGCGGAGTTAAAAACCACCTTCTGTGTAACATTCAGGGAAGCCATTGGTTGGGACCTTTGAAAACTACAGGAGTTATGTTTGGGAATTAGCAATGAGACTGAATTTTTATTTTTGTTTATAAGGGAAAAGTGTGTTAAATATAATCTACAGGCCGGCGCCGCGGCTCACTAGGCTAATCCTCCGCCTAGCGGCGCCGGCACACCGGGTTCTAGTCCCGGTTGGGGCGCCGGATTCTGTCCCGGTTGCCCCTCTTCCAGGCCAGCCCTCTGCTGTGGCCAGGGAGTGCAGTGGAGGATGGCCCAGGTGCTTGGGCCCTGCACCCCATGGGAGACCAGGAAAAGCACCTGGCTCCTGGCTCCTGCCATCGGATCAGCGCGGTGCGCCGGCCGCATCGCGCTGGCTGCGGCGGCCATTGGAGGGTGAACCAACGGCAAAGGAAGACCTTTCTCTCTGTCTCTCTCTCTCACTGTCCACTCTGCCTGTCAAAAAAAAAATAATAATAAAAAAAAAATAAAAAAAAATATAATCTACAGACCATAAGTTGAGTCATTGAATTATGGTATTTGTGGCACAGGGTCATTTTGATAGTAAGAACTCATTTATAATTTTTTCTTAACTCTAAAAGGCTTCAGCCCTGTGGATCTTCAAGAAAGAAATAAAAGAATATCCCTATATTTAGGAACAATGGATGAAATATTGTCAGAAAATGAGATATTTCAGTAGAAATTCTTGCCTAATATGTCACCACTTTGAACATGATTAAAGAAAATGGAGTCTCTCCCAGTGCAGGCAGGTACTTTGACTTGTCCAATTTAAGTTGGACATTTTCTCTTAGTTTGGAACTGCCACAAAATGCGCCCTTTCATGTCCTCAATAATACCCAACCAATGCAATCCATCTGTTCTGCTAAATTATTTCTAGTTCCCTAACCAAAGGCACTGCTTTTTCATGCATTTTATCATGATTTTATGCCCTTTATTATATTTTACAAAAGGTTCTGATTCCTCCAGGGCCAATGAGAACTGATTAGGACACTGGCTTCGATCCAGGCTTTGAACACAGGAGGGAAGGAATAGAACTGTTTCCTTTTTTCCCCTGCTCTTTGGCAGAAAAAAAAAATAACCATGAATCTATACCGTGTGTGTGCTCTGTGTGTGGGTGGGTGTGCAGACTACATTTTATCCTGTCACAGTATGACTTTGTAGATTGTGTTCAGAACATTCCTTCTATACTCCAGTTGCATTAATGGGCTTTCTTTAAGAAATTCTCTTTCTTTAGGAAAGAGCCATGGTACACTGTTGGGACTGAATGATATGGTCCTTTTGAATGATCTGACTCAAACTTCCTGAGTGCGGAGCCTTCTGGGCTCTGATCTAAAGACACTCCTATTCCTAAGCAGAGCGATCTTCAGGGAGCATCAGCTCTTCTTCCACTTTCTGGAAAGAAACTGATTGGGTGCAAATCACAGAGAATGAGCATGTTGCAATGGATACAGTCTTACCACAGAGACTTTCTTTAGGAAGATGAAACAAGAGTGATGGGCTTTCTTTCTCGGGCCTGTGTCAGTTAGGTGGAAAAGACTTGTATTCAAATCTCAAGTGAGAAACCCCCAAGTCAGCACAGTTCTTTGTATGCATTGAATGTGAGTTGTCCCCAAATGCCCCAAATTCTTAAAAATCTTCTTAGTCAGAATATCATAAATGACTTGACACAGACATTCTGCAGCCTAGCTATCTCTGAGAACGGAAATCAGTGTCTCCTTAAGATTATCAGAGCACTTTATCCTATTTTGTGACTCATTATACTCCTGGCCTTTGACACAAGAGAGAATCTTGAGAAAGGAATGGAGGAATAAAGGGCATGCAGGAAATAGAAAATACAGGGTGGGATTAGATGAAAATCTCTCTGTGAAGCATAACCAAGTAAAATACTCAGTGAGCAAAGGGAACTGTTGGAGATGCCAACATGCAAGAAGATGGTGCATGTGACAAGTTGAAGGCATCTGATAAACGTCATGCAAAACGGAACTACTGGGGAGCCTACGTGTTGAGAAATTAAAAAGATCGCTGTTGTTTCAGCATTTTTCCTTTATCATCCACTATGTCCCCATAGCAGTGTCTGTGTGAGATCCGAATCTCAAAACCTGCTGCCCTAGGTGTCTTCCTCCAGGTAGAAACTTTGTTCTTACTGATTCGGTTTCCAGCGCCATCTCTCTGTGGAAATCGTGGCTATGTGTTTGTGGGACTTACCCTTGGGAAGCCATGGAGGCAGGAGGGTGTTGAGTGTTGCCTTGTATTAAGTGCAAGTATTTTTTAAAGAAATGTTTATTATTGTAATAAAAAGAGCTCATGTAAAATACTTTGCCAAGAGCTAAAAGGAAGTAGTAGGAGAAGGGAAGAAAACAGAAACCAAAGTGAAGATGTACAATCTGTGGGCGCTGGAGTATCAACTCAGAGGGAGTACTCAAAATGAATAAATGCAACATGGGCTGGACCAGATGCTCTGTCCTTGGTTCCAGATGACTGATATCTCCCTAGGGAACGACTGCGATTCAGCAGGAGTCCTCTTATAATTTACCAGCACTTGAGCCCCTGTCAAATACGGGGACTCTTGTTAGCAGATTATTTTTCAAATGTGGGATTGAGTATTCAGTTGAAATGCCGGTGAGGTTGGAGGAGAATGAGAAAAGGAGTTGTGACAAGCATGGAGCATATGCAATGTAAATTTCTCTGACTAGTGTAAAGAAACATAGATTTGTTTTCCCCTTAATGGTATTGGATGTTATAGAAGGGGCAAAAATTTAATTTAGAGCTCAAATGAAAAACTTTAGAGAAAAAGACAAAAATTGATGAAGATCTATGGTGATCATCAAAACGGGGGTCTGGCATTTGGCAATGATCTTGACATTGTCTAAGACATGAACATCTTACTAACTGCCCGTCTTCAGCTGTCAGTGCCTGTGGACCCCAGTGCACGATGTCTCTCACTGCTTCCGCGTGGCTGATGTCAGTGGATATGGGCTTCTGAGCTCCACAGAGAGGAGAGTTGGAAGCCCTGCTCTTTCATGGTGTTCATTATTGCTCCAGACAGGGACTGGTTGTCATAATCTGTTTTCCAGCACTGAGCTCATTCCAGTTTTAGATGACTCAAACCATGGGCTCACCATGACTTATCATGGGGGTTTTTCACCCGCTAAAATCTCACAGCTTAATATCGACTTTGAATTTCCTCTTGCTCATTTTATCTCTTTCCCTGTCATTCTACTTCTTTTGCTGCTTTGATCTTCCATAAACTTTCCCATATTTGATAGTTAATAGTTAGGTCACCTCATTCAATAAGATCTTTATTGATCAGAGCACCGGCTGACCAGGGGCCATCATATTTGCCTTTGTTTTCAAAATTAGAATCCTCATCTTATTTATCTGGGAATAAACTCTCTAGAGCATATTTTAATTGTCCTAGACATGTAAGCTGTGTTGCACAAGGCTGAATGATAGACTGAAACCAGGGAAGCGCAATGCTCTGGCCCTGAAGAAAATGCCCTAGGAGTTTGTTTATTGAGCACACAAGGGTAGCCTTAAGGAGATTCTGCTCTATCTCACTCCCTTCTTATTGCCCCAGTAGCTCCCCACCAATGCTCCCTCCCTGTGACCTGATCATTTATCTTCAGTGACAGGCACAGCTCTGCCTCCTGCCCAGTGTTCCCAGTCCGCCCTGTTAGGGAACCTCACATCGACGCTCACTGGAAGCAGCAGCAGCACCTGAAATGAGGGAGGTTGGATATGGGGCAGTCCTGATGCAGAGAGAGGCGGTGGTGTCACCTGCTGTTTCCCAGCCGGCTGATGGTTGCATGGTTGGGAAGGTGGGAGGACTCAGCTCTTGTACAGGTTCTCTTCGAATTTCACTGTAGGTCTTTGCTTTTTATTGCCTTACCACTGCCTTGTGGTGGGGTATATTTTAAGTGGAATATTAATACTGTCTGTATAATTTTAGGAAGCACGGCAATTGCTGAAAGTTGGAGTTAATTAACTTCACTAGCACGATGTTTGTCAGGCTCTCAGATGTGCCAGCTGAGGAATGCAGTCAGCATGCAGTCAACAGAATACTCTGCCTACTGGCTCACTGAGGTTTAACTGAATGTGAATTTTGGTCTGTGCTGAAGGACCATTCTTTGTCAGAGGGAGTAGAAAATCCCCACCTAGCCTGAGTGTAAGCCATTCACTGAGTCTAAAGTGGCTCAAACCAGCTCTGCTTAAACAGCGGTTTTGGCTTCTGTGTAATTTCCAATGTCCTGTAGAAGGACACTTTGAAAAAACCTGTTAGAAATGAAATACTGCAAAAATTAAATATAAATTGAATACCTACAAGATTTCATTAGACTCAAAAGACATTAAAAGACTACCCAGTTGCCATAAAATTTCTAAATATTTATTCTGTGTTTCTGTACTGACCTCATCATAGGCCATGGATCACAAACTGTTATCCGTCCCATGGGGCACACACACGATGTGATTAGCTCACAATTCTTCGTGATAATCACATATATTCAAATGTTATGGTATTTACTTATGTCCTTTGAGAGATAACAAGGAATTTATTCCAAGAAACTTTTCAGATGAATATAAATTAAGTTAGTAATAAATTTACTTAGGCAAACAGTAATCGCTGTTTGTTTTTAAACACTTTTACAAATAAACAAAGAAAGAGACCATCTATCATTTCTTTGTTATAGACTTCCTTTTTGTGCTCAAGGAGAATATGGTTTATGTCAATTGTCCATTCAGGCAGAAGCAATCCATTGAAACCCTGCATATGATCATTTTTTAAGGATTATGAGGGCAGTGTGCTCAGCAAATCAGTGTCCCATTCCTGCGTGGTGAAACTCAGCCCATTATCAATCATCTTCAATGTGCCTCGGTCTCATTTTCTTCTCCGTGTTGTCAGTGGAGCACTGCAAACTTGTGCTGTTTTCTTTCAGCGCATCCAAGGCCGGAAAGCCAGCCTGGAGGAAATACAGCTTGTGCATTCGGAACACCATTCACTGTTATATGGCACCAACCCCCTGGATGGACAGAAGCTGGACCCCAGGATCCTGCTAGGTCTGTATGGGCATCCGTTCCCCTGAGCACAGCACATTCCAGCACTATCATCATTCAACACACTTGGCAAGCAGAGTGGCAAAAACAGTTTTTGCAACAGTATTGCTCTGTGTTAAGGGGTCTTTTACAATAGAAGCCAATGCATATTAGAAATCCTGCATGAGAAATAGACACTGCACTTTTCCTGATGTTTACTCTTTGTTCCTCTTTTATTTAAATAGCATCTGAATAGTTTTTTGCTAATGTTTCTAAGTGAAAAGTTTTAACATTCTTATTTTTTTTTCTGATTTTGCTTCACCTTTCCTATTTGTTTTGTGTCTTTCAATTCTTTTATTCCATGACTTTAATACACAAAAGGAATACAACTTATTTTTAAGTGAAAACTCGTTATTGTTGTACCAACTACGCTACATTTATAAAAAAAGATGACATTTAAAATTTTAATGTAATTTTGCTAATTCCTTACCTGTGGAATTAAATTGTACAGTAAGTGTTATAAGTAGAGAAGTAATAAATATAATTTTTGTTAATACTTGATTTTTTTGAAACTTTAATATCAGGTTTTGAAATAAAATTTTATGTTGCAGAGATTTATATAAGCTTTAAAGACAACAGATTTATGGGAACAAATAGTATCAAAGCCTTATTTTAGTTGCAACAATTATGTTATAGTAACCTTTTATAACTGAGTAACTATAGATTACTCAGGCAGTATCTGCTGAAATGACCATGTTAGAAATTAAAAATAAAAAAAAAAGGTTTTAGGACTTTTTAAAATCCCCTTCCTTCAAATAAGCCTTTTGAGTCAGTTCTGAACTATTGAGCTCTTACTCCTAATGCATATTTCAAAATGCTACGCGGTCCTAAAGAATTCCAAAGCGAGTATGTGACACACAGCATGTAAACATGTTGGAAAGTAATTAGGAGGAGAAAGTAGCAAGTACTCCTCATTACACTTCAGAGCTGTCTTTTTAAATGAGTGGCCAACATCCATAACTTTTTGAAGGAGAGATATTTGGGTAATCTGTGTGTCCTGCACTTTTCTATAAACAGAATAGATAATGATAGTTTGGGGAGAAGTGGGCAGAAGTGGGAAGGCATTGTGCTGCAACCTCGAGAGGACATATTGCTACAATTGGATGATGGGAAACAATCTGTAATAGAATTAAAGTTATACATCCACGTACACACAAGTCAATCAATTGGAACAGGTGTGCGCTGAGTGCTGTTTCTTCTTTCTGTTGAAAGAAGCAATCTCTGTACATGCAGATACTAAAACCTTTTTTTGTTTCAGATACTGTAAGATAAGTCTTACTTTACTATGAATTAATAATCCCACCCACCTAACCACAAAGATGAAGCAAGTGAGACATTGTAATTTTCATGGTTTTATGAGGTCAAAATTATCTCATGAACACAGTTTTATTATTTTTAAATTTACTTAAGAGAATCAAGTAGAAAACCTTCCTCCCTTTTTTGTATTTTTTTACTGTGGTCCCAAAGGATAAATCCACCCTGTAATAGAACTGAGTACTTACGGACTTTATTAGAACAGAGTGGGTTTGATCAAGTCTTGAGTATCAACAACGCAGTTTGTTGGGGAGGTGTTTGTAAACAATTCTTAACATTTTAAGAGAAAAGACATGTTTGTGAAAGAAATGAGGCTTACATTTGACTTAAATGAGGTTTAAATGAGGCTTAAAATTTTGCAACATCACACTTTCATTTATGAAATGTGGCAAATTACTATTTATTTTTAATTTGACAGTTTTTATTTAAAATAAGCTTGACAAAACACTTTGCCACAAAGCTAATACACACAGGCATTTCTTTCTTTTTTTGGTTTTGTTTTTTCTATTTTCTTGCCTTTTCAATTTTATCTACCATGTGTCGCTCCCCGTCTTCGTGGAGGAACAACACAGGACCCTGCGTTGTTCTTTTGTCTGCTCGGCCCTCCCCGGGTTTGCTGCTGGCTCTTCCCAGGTTGGCTACCAACCCTTCCACCTCCGTGGAAGGGCGGTTCCCCCTGGCCACTTTCCCCACTTCCGCGGGGGAGCGGCACACCGCCGGCCGGCTCTCTCGGGGGCTGCACAGGTGTTCCTTCAGATGTTCCCTTTAGATGTTCCTGGTGCATGGTGTCTCTCTCCTCCTTTATAGTCCTCTTCCACCAATCCCAACTCTGCTACCCACACGCCGAGTACGCTGCTCTCCTCCAATCAGGAGCAAGATCAGCTCCTGCAGCTCAGTCAATCAAATTGGCGAGAGGCAGCTGCGTAGAAGTTGTTTCTCCCTTCTCAGCGCCATATTGTGGGAGAGCAGATGCATAGAATAAGTCTTTTTTATTTATTTTTTATTTATTTATTTATTTATTTTTTATTTTTGACAGGCAGAGTGGACAGTGAGAGAGAGAGACAGAGAGAAAGGTCTTCCTTTGCCGTTGGTTCACCCTCCAATGGCCGCCACGGCCAGCGCACCGCGCTGATCCGATGGCAGGAGCCAGGAGCCAGGTGCTTTTCCTGGTCTCCCATGGGGTGCAGGGCCCAAGCACCTGGGCCATCCTCCACTGCCTTCCCGGGCCACAGCAGAGGGCTGGCTTGGAAGAGGGACAACCGGGACAGAATCCGGCGCCCCGACCGGGACTAGAACCCGGTGTGCCGGCGCCGCTAGGCGGAGGATTAGCCTAGTGAGCCGCGGCGCAGGCCAGAATAAGTCTTAATTCCAGTAACTTAGTCTAGTCCGGGTTGCTCCCCACAACCATGTATAAGGGAGAATATGCACTCTACGTCTTTCTGTGTCCAGCTTATTTTATTCAACATGATATCTTCAAGTTGCTTTTGAACAAACCTGATTTTCTCGAACATTCAATATGTGTATCAATTTAAATTAATATCAATATATAGTTTGAATCTTGGGCAAAGATCCTTCTCTTGTATGTAGATGATGAAAGCACCAAGTATTAGTGATTACATTTTCAACATTTCAAAAAAATTGAGAATTATTATTTGAAAGGCAAATTGAGAAGAAAATCCCTGGCCACTGGCTCACTCCCCCAGATTCCTGCAGTAGCACCAGCTGAGACCTAAACTGGGAGCTGGGAACACAACCCTGGTTCCATGTTTGTGGCAGGAACCCCCAGTTGTCTGAACCACCTCGGTCTCCTGCCAGGGTTTGCATTAGCAGGAAGGTGGTGTCAGGAACCAGGTGTCAATCCCAGGCACTCTGACATGGGATGCAGCTGTCTTAACTGCTAGGCTCAACACCAGCTCCAATTTTTAAGATTTTAGTTCAAATGGGTTATCCATTTACCTCATTTATTTTGAATATTTGGTGGGAATTAATGTCCCTGCTGAGTACAACAATGTTAGCTTTGTATGTCGACTACATGAGTGCATAGACAAGGATGCTGTGTTTTGGCAGGTCTTGATGTCCAGTACTAAATTCAATTTTGACAACATTTCTGAACCATTTCATTTCTTTGATTAATACAGAAAGTTAGCTGGTTTTCTTCATTTTGGTTCTAAGTGAAAAATCCCATTCTTTCACAAGGTTAATTTTTCTTTTCTTTTCTTTTTTTTTTTTTTTTGTTCTTTATGTAATTCGGATTCTTGTGACTTGTTTTTTTTTTTTTTTTCTCAACTTACACTGTGCAGACCAGATTTAAGCTGCCATGATGAATGTACAGAAATTCGAAGTCAACAAGATATTTTCTTCCTCTTCCTTCCTTCCTTCCTTTCACTCTCTTACATCCCACTGCATCCCCAAGCCCCACCAACCACAGATAGGGCATGGTTTTTCCCGAGTTAAATGGACACTTCCTCTTGAGCCTTATGTTCTGGAGTTGGGAGGAAGAATTTAAATAGATGTTCAGTGTGGCCTATCTATCTGTATCTTCAAAGACACCTGGAGATTATAAAAGAAAGTTTTCCTTATCATTAATACTCCTGTTGCCTATTTTTTTTTAAAGATGTATTTATTGCTTGGAAAGGCAGAGTGAAAGAGAGAGAGAGAGAGAGAGAGATTTTCCATGTGCTAATTCATTCCTCAAGTGGTAGCAATAGTCTGGATTGGGCTAGGCCAAAGCAAGGAGTCAAGAACTCCATCTGAGTCTCCCACATGGATAACAAGGATTCAGTTAGTTGGGTCTGATCCATTACTTCTCAAGCACATTACCAGGAAGCTGTATTGGAAGCAGAGCAGCCAGAACTTAAACTGGTGCTCCAGTATGAGATGTGGTGTCCCAAGCAGTGGTTTAATCCACTATGCCACAACACCTGCCTCTCCAGTTTCCATTATCTTGTGGCTAGGCAGATTTTATTCCATTAATAAGGCAATATAATGGAATTAGAAAATAAGTCCAGAGGCCAATGTTGCAGTTTAGCCGATAAAGCCGTTGCCTGCAATGCTGGCATCCCGGATGGGCACTGGTTTGTATCCTGGCTGTTGCACTTCTGATCCAGTTCCCTGTTAATGTGCCTGGAACGCAGCAGAGGCTACCCATATGGAAGACCCAGAAGAAGCTCCTGGTTCCTGGCCTTGGCCTGGCACAACTCCAGCTGTTGCAGCCATCTGGGGAGTGAACCACTAGCCGATGGAAGATTTCAATCTCTCTCTCTCTCTCTCTCTCTCTCTCTCTCTCTCTGTGTCTATCTCTTTGTACTCTGGATGTCAAATAAATCAATACATCTTTACAAATAAATAAATCCAGTCCATTCAGTGAACTAAAGATTTCTTACACACTAGTAAGTTTAAATTTAATTATTGTTCCCCATTTTGTGTTTTGTAACATTACTAAATAAAATTCTCCTTAAATGGCATATCAGTTTTTCCCTTATTCTCTTGGGGTTTAATAATTTTAAAAAATTGTTTCATTGATTATAAATGAACAATTCATACATGGAAGGATATGTACACATTTTTTTTTTTTGGACAGGCAGAGTGGATAGTGTGAGAGAGAGAAACAGAGAGAAAGGTCTTCCTTTTGCCATTGGTTCACCCTCCAATGGCCGCTGCTACCGGTGCACTGTGGCCGGCACATCATGCTGATCCGAAGCCAGGAGCCAGGTGCTTCTCCTGGTCTCCCATGCGGGTACAGGGCCCAAGGACTTGGGCCATCCTTCACTGCACTCCTGGGCCATAGCAAAGAGCTGGCCTGGAAGAGGGGCAACCGGGACAGAATCCAGCGCCCCGACCGGGACTAGAACCCGGTGTGCTGGCGCCGCAAGGTGGAGGATTAGCTTATTGAGCCACGGCGCCGGCCTGTACACATTTTAATTTCACAGGTGACATATGAATGCAATCCTGCAAAATATTCAAGGATGCAGACATATCTTTATTAGGAACAAAACTAAGAAAATTTACTCTTCTCTATGCTTTCCAGAAAATTTTTAATCTATTTTATCTATGTGTGCCAGTATTCCAGTTTAATATTGTACAATAATTTATTTAATTTTTCTAATGACTCCTCTTTTTACATGAAAATTTCTTCACTAGATGTCTTTCTGTTTGTGCATGCATTTTTCTTTGTCATTTTCCATCTGTTAGTAATGGCACTTGAAAAACCAATTCATCTGCGTCACTGTTTTCAAAATAAACTTTGTCCTGTGACAGTAAAATCTACTTAGACTTTTACTGACATACTACATGAATTCCACCAGAAATCTGTTTTCCATCTTAATTATTTACTTCATTGATCATCAATAGAACCAATGGATGGAATAGGCAAATTGGGGAATTATACCTGGTTCTACAGCTGATCTGCTGAGTGACCTGTGTGATTCACTTCAGAACCACTTGGCTACGAGACAGAAATGCTCACTGCCTTTCCTGTGCATTTCTTCACAGGCAACCTGTAGTGAGATAGGAGGTTTGGCAGTAGAACTCTTGTTTTATCTGTTTGTGTCATAGAAAACGTAGAACACAAAAGTAAAAAAAAAAAAAATCACCAAAAATCCCATGAAATAACTGTTCCAAGAGACAATCATATTTCTTATAATATACTTTCAAAGAACATATTTTATATTGATATTGATATATAGATCTCCAAGAAGGATTATATTTGATGTTGTTTCATTTAAAAAATGATTAATGTTGGATAGGTTTATGGGGTACTTGACCTTAGCTATATCTTAAATTTATACTCAGTTGTTTTTGAAGTACAACTTAAGAACGAGTCTGTCCATTTGAGAAGATATTTTAATTATTTTTAAAATGATAAAAGTGTGGTGTCATTTGCTTTGTAGCTCAAAACATCTCACTGGAGGAATTATATTCAGCAAATAACTGGGTTACCATAAACTATAAATAAAAATATTATAATGCATTATATGAACAAATAAGCTAATTAAAAATGTAATGATCCATATTTCATGGGCACATATCTGTGTGTTGGGGCAACAAACTCTATGTATAATAATATTTGTATTATTTGATTTGAGTTCTTAGCTGTATATACATAGACATAGAACTGTAGTATTCAGAAAATTAGCTCTATGGAATAATTGCTCTAAAACCTCATTTATTTCCTTCTGAGTTGCATGATAAATACCCTGAGACATCATTTTATATATTAATAAAATGTCAAACATTTTAAACATACTGCCATTCCCAATTTATATTTATTTTTCATGTCTTCTTACTATACAGGTGACGACTCTCAAAAGTTTTTTTCCTCACTGCCTTGCGGTGGACTTGGTGTAAGTATGAGTTTGTTTGCTGCTTTGTAAACACCACACACTTCCCCACAAAATCTATTCGATTGTGTCTGTTCAGCTGTGTTGAAGGCTGTCTCAGTAAAGGCCATATCAGACTTGAGCACCAGTTCTGTAACAGGCAGGGCTATGAACCAGATGGAAACGTGGGGCCTTTTGTTTCCAGGTTATTAAGAATTGCAAGATGGTGGCCACGTACAACTGAGCCAGGAGTCAGGCACTTCTCTCTGTCAATGGCTGTGTGAATGCAAGTTCACACACTCACCACGTCCGTTCTCTAGACTATTAGGGAGCTTCCAAAAGGGAACGCAAGAGGGGTTAGCTGAGTTTTTCAGCAGAATTCAGTGTTCAGTAAAATCACATGAAGTGTGCAGATACGTATTATTCCTGGTGAAAATGGCATGAACTGCACACAGTGCTTTGCATTATGGGACTTTTTGTTTCTGTTCCCCCTAGGGGCCATTTTTGCCTTCAGTAATTAAAAAGAGCCTTTTGACCCAAGATATTCACACCACATTTCAAGGACAAATTTGTTTGAATCTGGAGACATATGAAGAAAATGCCTACATTTCTGTGGATGATTAGAACATACCCTATAACCTGCAACCTATTTAAAGTTAACCCTTGCCAGTAACAAGCCCTAAGTGCTGAGTCATGTTATGATGATGTAATTCAGAGTCAGGCTTTCAAGGACTAGAATATCTAAATCAATTAGATTTCTTGCATATTGCAGGGAAAGAAAAAAGAAACTAGCCTTGACTATATCGTGTGATGGATAACTTTTTGGATGTAGCTAAATTTTTTGCTGGGAAATCCTATATATTTTCAGTTCATTCTGTTCTTTGAATGCTGCCAGACTTAGCAAGCAGTGTATTTCTTTTCCTTCACCTCTGATTCTGCCCTTCTGGAAATAAGAATGGCATGTGCAGTTTACTGGTATTCAGCTGAGTTTCAAAACAACCCTGCAAATCAGTCATTGTTATTAACACTACTTTGAAAAAGAGACACTGAAAATTCAGAGAAGTGAAGTCATTTTCCTGATGTCACACAGTAATTCTGAAAGTGTGGAGCTGCTGTGTGTATATCCAGGCGAAGGATTTCCACAAGAGGTCCTTGATCCTCCCATGGCTTTCCCCGTGACAGACTAACCACAGCTTGTTCCACCCTCCTTCCCTCCATCTAGCAGCGCAGGGTTGTGGTTGACATGATGGTCCCCTTTGGGACAGCTAACCTGTGACTTTTGCTTTTTATTTATTTATTTGAAAGTCTGAGTTACACAGAGAAGCAGAGGCAGAGAGAGAGAGAGGTCCTCCATCCGCTGGTTCATTCCCCAGATGGCCACAACAGCTGGAGCTGTGTTGATCTGAAGCCAGGAGCTTTTTCCAGTTTCTCAGGCACGTGCAGGAGCCCAAGAACTTGGGCCATCTTCCACTGCTTTCCCAGGCCATAGCAGAGAGCTGAATCAGAAGTGAAGCGCCCATATGGGATGCTGGCACTGCAAGCGACGGCTTTACCCGCTACACCACAGCGCCGGCTCCAATTTTTGCTTTTTTGACTGGCAGCAGAGGGCACTCATCACCCTCCAGGTTAATTCCTGCTCATTTTTAGCGTCATCCTGTGCAGCCGCGAGCTTGCAAATTCATTCTGGAAAGCAGAGGATAAACTGACCTTTCAATGGGGTTTCATTGGCTTGGGTGTTTATTTTCTAACATCCTAAGTGGCTCTTTTAAACTGGAATGGCTGCTCACTTGCCAGTGAAGCGAAGAATGGAACAAAGCTAATGACGCTTAATGGGAACAGTGATCGGGAAGAGACAAAAGCTGCTAGGAGAGTGGTGGTCAGCACGCCCCACTCATTAAGGCATGACCCAGAGCTGAGTCAGGGTCATCACCTGGACCTGCTAGCCCTTGAACACAAAGTACCGCTACTCAACCGCTTAACCCCATGCCAAAGGAACTTGTTCTGGAGCCAGCACTGCTCTAGGAAACTCTTATAAGTGCCCAGGGAATAAGAAGTAACTGCTGCTTCTGGATCTGTCTGTCCAACACGGAGTGAGTCCTAGGATAGGTGCTGAACAACGTCTCCAGACACTGCCCTCATCTGGTCAGTGGCAGTAGTGGCTGTGGGCAAATATCAGTGAGCAGGCAGAGGCGGGGTATAGGGAGCCTCCATGAGTTTGAGTCCTGCTGTCCTGGAGAAGGCTGGGCGAGAGGCACTCTGGTTATCATATTGGGCTATCTGCTGCTGGTGGTGTTTATATGGGTCCAGATGAGTGTGATCATGGGGTGTGTGTCCACAAAATTTCTTGCCGATACTCTAGTGAATCAGTCTTTCTGATTGTTTATTTTTTTTAATTTTTCAAGAAACAAATTGTGATTTTAGCCATCTGAGAACACCTAGCCCCTAAGCTCTGTGATTTTCATACAAGTCCTAGGAGAAACTCTTTCACCTTCATGACAATCCCAATATATTCACATATGAAAGATACCTATGAACTTGATGTGGCTGCACTTGGCAACATGGGAGTACCCAGCAGAGCCTGGAAACCAGTGACATTGCTTTTGTCTGAAGGCACATTTTGGGATTGAATGATCTCAGATGGACCTGTTAGTTTTGATTCCCAAAGAGTGAACCATCTCCAATTATGAACGCAAATTCCAGTTTTGGAATGTGTAACCTCCTTCCAGTTGGGGTTTCTACGCACCTTGTGGCTGAGGGTGGATGTAGTGAGTTTTGAGGATACTACCTGGGGCATTATAAAACCAAAAAATCACTGCTTCTTATTAAAGTCACCTTGACAATTCCGTGTGGTTATGAGAGTGTTGGCCCCAAGCAGTCCAATGGGCAAATGATATTTAAGGTGCTTTCAAATGCACTCTCCAGGTTACAGCTGGCGCCTCAGTCTCAAGGTTTCTGAATTCCTTTGTGTTTGTTTTAGTGTCTCTGCCATGGCTCGCTTCTGATCGCGTGTGATTGCACTACCAGAAAATGTTCCAGTTGGAAAAAGAGCCTTTTACCAACTCCCAGGCCTTGATCAGTGTGTGTACAGAAGTGGATAATTCAGGAACTGTGGAAAACACAGCCAGTGCAAGGCCACCTTTGTCCTCACTCCTCAGGGCACATCCCTGATCATTTTCCTGGCCATCTGACCTGCTGCTGTGTGAGGAAATCTTGAAGTCATTTCTCAGCCTTCTTTTCCCCCTCTTCACTTGATAGGCAGAAAAAAAAAAAACCCACAAAAGCAAGGACGAGCAGGCTTTTATGATAATGTCGTCATCAGCTCCCAGCTTCAAACACTTCTGCGGCTTTTGAGTTGTCATTTATCACTTGGAACTTGCATCCACCCAGAATTCCCCCGATACACTTAGAGAAATTGATAACAGACCCCGCGCTTCTTTTATGGCTTGGAGGAGGCAACAGCAATCACATCACTATTGGCAGGCGATATTATTTTTTGACATGGTTGTAAAAGTATAAAGGGGCTTATGGCATTTGTTTAGATGAGGAATGGGCTCTCAAGCTGTGCTGGGGTTTACAGGACCAGATTAGTGAGAAGCAGAGGGAATATGATGTTTGCAAACAGGATATGATTTTATATAAGTTTGGGTTTCATGCCCTGTGCTCTGGGGAAATCCCTGCAGACAGCAGAGAATTCCACTTTTATCCTGCAACAGACCAGCTCCCAGTGCCAATAGTTAGAAAAATCAAGGCGAGGAGTGGGCGGTGGGCAGTGGGAGGTGCAGGACTGGAGGCCCAGGGGCCGCGGATGGTAGAGCGCTTGTCCTGGAGGGATGAGGAATTGGAGAGTTAGGGGCAAATCCGGAGTCTGCAGAACCAGCCCAAGGTGTGCCAAGACTGAGGCGCTGTGACATTTGGCCAAAGCCTCTTGTCCCATGGGGACGCCGTGGCCTGTGGTCACGAAGCTGGCTTGTGATGACCGACTTTTGCTTTGTCCCTATTTTGTTGGATTATGCTTGGGTCTGACACACTTGCAGGGGTTAGGGGTGTCCTTTTGTGATTTGAGGAGGGGGAAGGAGGAGGATTAGGTCATTGTGTGTGTGTGTGTGTGTGTGTGTATGGGGAGGAGGTGGGTAATTTGAGGCTCCTTTCAATTGCTCTGAGGTTTTCCACAGACATTTCACTTAAATTCTCTTTCATTCTGTCAGAATTAATACGTAAGTTCTTCACTCTGATTAAAAATAAAGTATGTATGTGTGTGTATATGCACACAATAAATGTTACACACATGTGTATACGCATAAGAAAATTCTGCCTGTTGTTTTGCACCACATTTATACTTCTGCATTGTTTTTCTATTGATTATACCATGTTGGTCCACCTGAAAAAGTAAACAGAGTTCTAGAGGAAAGCTTTGCAAAGAGCTTTGGTTTGTCCTATTATTTGTGATCTCAAAGAATGACTTCACTTTATAACCCAAGCACATACAAAGAGTTAAATTCAAAGAAACAGGAAGGTTTGGCCAATAATACATTTTACTACTGTTATTTAGGATATTCCTTTGTGAAAGAAAGCCAACAGTTTATTTTGATATTTGAAGTTTGCTTATTTGAGAGGTTAAAAGACAGAGCAAGGGGCCGGTGCTGTGGAGTAGCTGGCAAAGCTGCTGCCTGCAGTGCTGGCATCCCATATGGGCGCCAGTTTGAGTCCCAGCTGCTCCACTTCTGATCCAGCTCTCTGCTATGGCCTGGGAAAGCAGTAGAAGATGGCCCAAGTCCTTCAGCCCCTGTACCCGCATAGGAGATCCAGGAGAAGATCCTGGCTCCTGCCTTCAGATTGGTGCAGCTCCAACCATTGTGGCCAGCTGGGGAGTGAACCAGGAAATGTAAGACCTCTCTCTCTCTCCTCTCTGTGTGTGTAACTCTGACTTTCAAATAAATAAATAAATCTTTAGAAAAAAAGAGAGAGAACAAGAGAAATCCTTTCTGGTTCACTCCCCGAATACTGGCAATATCAGTGGTCCAAATCTGGAAGCTCAGAACTCAATCTAGGTCTTTTATGTGGATGTCAGGGACCCAGTTTCTTGAACCAGGCTACCTTCTAGGTCCGCATTAGCAGGAAGCTGGAGTCAGGAGGGAGCTGTGGATTAAAACCAGCCACTTCGCAAAGCAGTATTTTAGAAGGTATAGTACTAGAGCAGAAAAAGATGTGCTGCCAATGAGGAAGCAAGGAGTAGGAATGCATGAGCGACCAGAGGAGACCACTGTTTCCGGTTTCCCAGGGCATTTCCATTGTCCTGAGCTGGATGGACTCTGTGCTAAGGCAGCCCAGAGGAGGGTGCTTCCAAAGAAGAGGGATGTTGACTTACTCAGTACTATGCTGAATCCTCAGGAAGAGTTAAGAATGGATGTGCTTGTGTGAGTTGCATTTTGTGGGCGGGAGTGGGTGCTGTGAGTGGAGGGTCAGGGGAGTAAGCCAGGCATTAACTGTTTAGGCCATAATGACACACCGTGTTTTTGACAATTGCACCAAGCTGTTGCCAATTAGTAGAGAATTTGTCTCAAAAAAAAAAAAAAAGAAATATCTGAATGTTTATGCCAAAATTTTGCATGTTCTTGAGGTTATGACATTGACTCAGGAACTTCTTTTATCCTAAGTGTATTTCATCCTGTGTTATTCCCACCCAATTATCTGAGCAGGCATGATGCCTATTGTGACATCAGCAGAAGGAGGAGGGGTGGCATCTGTTTCTCACATGCAGTAATCAGGATAACGCTGATTTCCTTGTATTAATGTTCAGCTGAGACCTGGCTTGCAATCAATCAGTGCTTCATTTCCTCTCCTCCACTATCACGGAGGCATCACAGCCCTCTTCCCTCCAGCGCAACAAGAGGATCCACCCTGATTGGGCATCTCTTCTTCCCCATCTCCCCTTCCTAATTGTATTTGGATTTTCATTAGTTTTCAACTTGATGCAAATGATACCAGCAGGAATCCCCCACGGCACCTGGAATAAGTAAAACTGATAAGCTGCCTTAATGAAATTGTTTGAGAGTTTCGTTTCATGTTGTGAATTCCACAGAAAGATCATATTGCCCCAGACTTGGAAAATACAGTCCATGATATTATTCAAGCCAGGGCATGCCTTCTAAATAACAAAGGCAGTTCCAGTACTGCATAGATTATGCTAATTGTGTATACTCCATAATAGACTCAGGGAAGCAGACAACACTCCCTATAGAGATAAACATATACACATTACTCTATGTTTACCACACAATGTGAACCTTTATAGAATCATTGGGCATCTGATGTCCACTGTAGGGAAGAGGGAAATTAGAAATGAAAACCTTAACTTCCTCCTTAATTCACTTAGTTGTAGCATCCCATCTACAATTAAATTCTTTCAATTGCTTTGACATTATGGCTAAACACAACAGGATGCATTTTGAAATAAGAATACTCCACTTTTTTTATTCAAAGTAAACATGACTATCACAAAACTATTAAAATTCTTCTGTTGTCAAAATGAGAAGGCTAAAAATTACCACCATCAAAGCTTTACACACATGTTTTTGACATTCCAGGGACCCCCATAACTGTTATCTGCAGACACACACACATGCACACGCAACTTCACAAAATCAGTGGAAAACTGAAATGAAAAGGTGGAAGAAGAGGAGGATGGGCATCTGGCCTCCCAGCTAAGATACCCACTAAGATGTCCACGTCCCACATCAGAGTGTCTGGATTAATATATATGGTCAGGTTCTTGATTCCAGACTTCTGGCAATGCAGACCTTGGAAAGCAGCAGTGATGCCTCAAGCATTTGGGTTCCAGCCACCTACATGGGAGACCTGGACTGAGTTCCCAGCTGCTGGTTTTGGTTCTGGCTCAGCCCCAGCCATTGTGGGTCTTTGCAAAGTGAACAAGCAGTCCAGAACACTCTGTCTCTCCTCTCTCTCTCTCTCTCTCTCTCTTTCTTTCTTTCTCTTTCTCTCTCCTCTCTCTCTATGTCTCTTTCCCCTCTCCCAAAGAAAATGAGGATAAAAGTTAAAAAAAAATAGAGTTTATTTTTCAGAATACGTTCCATCAGGTTCAAGACACTTTCCAAGTAGTGATACCAGCCATTTTGCCCATTCCCAAAGAACTGAGGTCCCTGAAAAGTTAATCATGTCAACGCAGTCCTTTTTTACAATGTTAACTGAAGAATGGGTGTCCTTTAAATATTTTTTAAGATTTGAAAACAAAACGAAGTCAAAAGGCACCAAGTCAAGATGGTAAGGTGCACTGTCATGGTGGAGAAGGACTCTGGTCGCAGCATTGACTGACCTTCTCAAAAATGCTCTCACACTCAGCAGATGTTATCACTCTTTGGACTTCCAGGTCAATGAGCAAAATGTCTTCAGCATCCCAAGAAAGCCATGACGTTTGCTCTTGACCAGTTTGTTTTTGCTTTTTCTGGGCTGCTCCATCTCTTGGTAGCCATTGCTTTGCTTGTGCTTTGTCTTTAGCATTCTACTGGTGAAGCTGTGTTTCACTTCCTGTTACAATCCTAAGAAAAAAAAATGCTTCAGGATCTCCATCCCTCTTGTTGAAAATTCCCAGCGCAGGCTCTGCTTGTCTTGCAGTTGATCTCCCATCCAGTGCAGCATTTGTTGTACTTAATATTTCAATCAGAACTGTGTGAGCTGAATTAGTCTATGGTGTTGGCTATCACTTCTGTTGTTAGGATATGAACAAGATGGATTATTTTCCTTGCAAATTAATGTGGATGGCCCTTCAAGGCTTCATATTCAACATTATCCTGCCGCTGTTAAATGAGCTATCTGCTTATAAACTGCTGATTTCTTTGGTGCATTGTCCCCATTAAGGCATCAGTGATTTCACCATTCTTCCACCCAAGCTTCACCATAAATTTCAAGTTTGTTGCTTCAATTTTAGCAGAATTAGAATTGCTCTGATAGGGGTTCTTTTCAAACTGTTGTCTTTGCTCAGTGCCCCAAACTAGATCTTTTCCAGGTATGTTATTACAAGGTAGTTCTAGATTATTTTGGTGCAACAAATTTTGAAATCCATGCATAGTTTTTGCATAATCCCTATTTACTATCCATAGACTCTTTGAAGATGCTTCCTATATGTACATTAGCTATGTATACATAGGTGCAGCTTTGTCAACCAAAGTAATGAGGAAAGTGGGGAAAGAAAACACATTCATTTCTGGAATTTTTTTCTTTATACTTTTTCTCTATTTTGTAATAATTTTCTGTACTTGCCTCTGTGCCTTGATTATAAAAATTAGGATAATAAGAAACCCGAATCTTAGACTCTGCGGCTGCTGAAGATTAATGAGTTTGGTGAACCTTAAGCTTCTATCTAACTTAGAAGATCAATGGTTCTATGAAATGAAAATTGAGAAAGTAAAACAAATCAAAATACATTTTAATATACAGTCTTCTACTGATTGTCAGCCACTATTGACTGTTAAAAAAACATAAGGCTTTAGGTCAAATAAAAAGTTAGAGTAGACAAAGAAAATAAGATTACCTAGAAGAAAGTCATTTCGTGACTGCTTGAAATGAAGGTAAATCTAAGCTCACCTCAGATTCTTGATGTGAAAAGCATGGACTTGTGTTTTTCCTTTGTCATATTCTTACCTGAATATTTTCAGATCCAAATATCCATCCCTGTTGTAAAATAATAGCCAATATATAACACTGACATGGCATCATTAGATTGTCTTTGATCAAAAGTTTAGTAAAGCATAACTTTGAAATTTTTGTGACTATAAAATGACACATTAATTTTCTTTTGAAATTTGAAACTAAAATAAATTAATATACTGACTGAGCTATATGCAGGCAGTTCACAGCAGAGTCCCTAGGATTTAGTTATTTCAAACCTCAAGACAGACCCAAAGCTCTGACTCCTACATCAGAACCTCATCATTACTTTACAGTGTCATGTTTCAACATAAAATAACTTGTAAATTAAGAGAATTAACTACTAAGTAATGATTTACTTATCAACAAATCATTGTTTTTATGAAGACAAACAAGACTATTAACAACTAATATACTTCAGAAACTTAATATGAAAGTGCTTTGGTTAATTTATTCTATTATATTCTAAATAATGTGAATTATATGGTCTCTAATTGGTATTTACATTGGATAATTTATAAGTAGATAGTCACATTACCATCTGCAAAGGCTTCTCAAAATGTTCCTGGATGATTTTGATATGTGAGCCCCCAAACAATAAAAAAAACAAATGCCTACAACTAGTGAAATTCTGCTTCTGCTAACTACTTCCTCCCCCGGTCCCCTTAGTTAAGTAATGGCTGTTTTAGACAATTTTCCATCTCTCTGTTCTTTATTAAATAGACACATATTGAGAGCCCCCTATGTGTGAAGGATGGAGCAACATAGAGACTTGTGTTTTTTCTTTCTTTCTTTTTTTTTTTTTTTTTAAATCTCCACTTATCTCTCCCATTGTACTTAACACTTAGTGTCAATGTTGGTCTTCTATTCCTGTTCAGTGAGTCTGGTGGGAGAGATATGGCAGTTCATGGAGAGGTGGGAAGAAGGTAATAAGAATATTTAAATGAAATTCAAAGTCATTATTTAAAAAAACATATTTCTACAGGATAATCTTCTTATCTCATCTTCCTTTGGTGGTAGCCTCAAATTCACATCCTCAGAGCTATGAAGTGCAGTATCCAGCATTAGTTCATGACTAATAGCAAGTATGAAAGAGGTCAAAAGCTCAGTAGTAGTAATTGCTGCATACTGGTCTCTGTGCTTTTGGACATACAGTAATCACAACTGCTAGTGGCTACCACAGACTCAGCAGAATCCATTCACTAGATTGTTTTTCATATATATATATATATATTTTCATGTATATATACATATATATATATATACACATATATGCCAAATATTTATTGAGTGTTGTTATGTCAGGTATAGGTAACACTAAAAAAAAAAACAGGAAAAAAAACCCTACCTGTATGGAACTTACATTCTAGTAGGGGAGACAGATGAGTAAGAATGCATGTCAACATGCATGTGTGTGATGATGTGAGATGATGACTACCATGAGAAATGAAAGCAAGGAAGGGGATGCTGAATCTTCAGGGTTAAGGCCAGGAACTGGTGATGTATGGAAAGTGTGGCCTTTTAGAAATTAGAATGGATGAGTGAGGGCTGCAATGGGAGTCTGGCTTCTTATGTTGATTGACTTAAGAGGAGTTCAGAGAATAAAGTGATCATTGCCAAGGGTCTCATGCAGAGTGGTGGGAAGCAGTGGAAGTTCAACAAGTGCAGAGGGGCTCAGGAAGAATGCTCAGAGATCTGGAGCTCTGTCTTTACTCTCACCTGTGCACAGCGATGGGGTTGTTCTGTGCAGAACACACAGAGCACCTGGCTTCCCTTTTGACTTGTGGATTGAGCTGTGGTGATGGGGGTGAGGGGACAAGTTGGATTTCCAGGCACAGCTTGCGATGCTGAGGCTTCTCTGGATATCTGGCCATGGAGGAGATTGGGGGTCAAGCAAATTTACCTGGGTGCTAACTGATCTGGGTCTCAACAGCAGGTCCTGGGACGTGAGATTATCTGTCTGAATGGCTCTAGATCTTATTGCACTATGAGCTGAGAGTTGCCCAGTCCCTGGGAATGTTATTTGTACATACTTTCCTATTTAAATGGTGCCACCTCAAATTAGATGCAGTACTCTAACACCTGCCAATTTTTAAGTCTAATGAAAATGTCCTGACATTTGTGTGACATTTTCCAATGCCCTTTCATGTGCATTGCAGTGGCTTCTTGGATGACATTGTTGCACTGTGGCATTAGTTGTCTCTGGCTGTTCCTTCCAGATTTATATCTGAACTGCAAGATCCAGAGTAACTGATTTGTTGATCCCGTAAGGCTAGTGCCTGGGCCAGAGGTTGATGACTTCTCAATGTCTGTATGCCCAGTTCTGGGTCACATGTGTACAGTACAGAAATCCAAACTTTGGAGTCTGAATTCCAGGGATTCCTTTGACTAATAACCATTTGTTTTGATCCTCAGTAAATATTAAATGGGATGAATTGGTAAAAAAATAAAAAGGTGGGGGAGGTCTACATTCTATAGAACTATGCTCTCACAATCTAAATAAAATGATAATCCTTGACTTTGAACCTCATAGAACCCCAGGATTGACTTAATGGTTGGATTGCCCATCAGGATAGGCTGGGCCATGGAGAATCCTTAAAAAAATACTCAATTTATTCTCACAGAATGGGGCTGATTCACAGCCTCACAGCAAAGTAGCCCTTCTCTACACAAAGCTTCCAATCACTGCCCACCTCAATTTTTTAAATCCTCACAGTGACCCCAGGGGTCTTACTACTAAAGAAGTAATTGAGATTTCCTATTTTTCAGAAAGGGAAACTGAGCTCAGAGAGGTGAGTAGCTTGCTCAGTCGCACCATTAAGAGTAGGTGGTAGGGGAGAGATGGCCTGATTCCCGTTCTCTTAACCACAAAACCATGCACACACAACTCACTGTAATTCCAACCTCATATGATTGTCAACACTCCTTTCCCAAATGAGAATAGTCCTCATCGTAGGAAAGCACACATATGTCTCTTGCCAAAAACATTCTCTTTTTCATTGAAATTCTTATGAAGTATTAAGTCCATGCACTCAAATATCATCAATTTTGGGTAAAAAAAATCACACAGCTGTACAGAGCATCTCAGCTTTAACTGGAACACTGCAAATGTCTCTGCCCTTGGATGAAGCCACTGAGGGATGAGTTAGAGGAATCTTCTGTCTCACACCTACTGAGTTCCAGTTAATTTTGTTAAACTGTCCCTCAACTGAATGAACAGCTTAGCATATTATGAAGTCCCCTTAACATGAAGTGTATATCAAATTAAATGAAGAAGCAATAGGAACATATGAAAATGGTGTTTCTTCACTCTGTCTCTAACTTGATCTTAGTAGGTCTGACAAACAGTTCACTGAAACTTCATAGCAACAACAGTCTCAAACTCCTTGACTGGTCATGTAATGTACAAGAATCCACATAGTACTTGGCAAACCTGTGAGTCCCCTAGTATCTTACATGTGGCTCCTTAGAGTCTTAGGATGTAGTGCTTTTGCCAGAACAAACATATTTCTCTACTTATTCTTGTTACTGGTAAGTAAATAGCAAATGGGGTATTTTTCTGTAGATGAAGAGTGACTAGAAATTGCACACACAAGGTCAATGGAGCTGCCAGAAAGCAGTCAATCATGCTTGGAGATGGTTTGTGGTAGAGCAATAAAGCACACGGCATGCCCCTGGTCTTTCCAGCTGCTGCACTAATAGTTCACGCCTTCTTTCCATATGGAATATCAGTCACAGTATTCATTCATCATATCCATGGCCTTGCTTCGAATCTGAAGGTTTTCCCTGTAGCTGTTCTGTTTCATCTCACCATGACTAAAGAAGCTAAGGTGTGTGCATTATAATGTACAAGTGATCCCAGGGGAATGTGCTGTCATTCATGTCTTCCTCCTAGTGTTGAACAAAAGAGAGAAAGCATGTGAGTTCACCCACCCATTGTCATCATAAATCCATCCCAGCTCCATTTCAAGGGTCTCAGTATTTCAGCAGAACATCTAACGTGAAATGAATAAATACATTCAAGGAGCTGGCATGTTGTATCACATAGGGAAAGAGAGAACAGCATTGTTACAGGCTGCAGATCTGAATGAAGAATACACTAGAGAACGTCAGAGGTGCTTAGCCCAGAATTATGACTCACAGTATTACCATTCAGGAAGAAAACCATAAATATCATTCTGCATTATAGAGGGCTCTCAAGAATTTCTGAGGTGTTGATTCTGAAGCAGATGTGTCCTTCAACCTAGTGCCAGCCTGAGAAACAGCAATGAACAGGCTCTCTTAATTATTACTTAACTTCTCATGGCCTCAGTTTCTTAATCCATGACTAGAGCCTCCCTCTTGGCAGTATTGTGAAGATCCATTGTGGTGATGTAGCTGATCAATGGCTGCTGTATGTGGAAATGGGCACTGGTCTCTAATTCTAGAAGTCAGCCATATGTAGACTCCATTCTGCGGAGAGTATATAGACTGCATGATTTAGAAGGGTCTTCATATCACTGCAACCCTAAAGTCTTACTTGACCTGCCTACTCAACAGCTGGTCTACCATTAGAATCGCAGCAAGGATCACAGTCAATCAAGGGCTGCACCATTTTCAGAAGGCCCAGTAGTGAGGCACATGGGCACAGAATCCTGGTTTAGGGATTCCAAAGTCTAGATTCATATCTTCACCCTGTCAGTTCTTCAAAAGTGCTTTTCCAAGTCTAAGGTGCAGATTCTGGTGCAGCAGAACTGGATGGGGCCTGGGATTCTGCATTACTCACAGGTTCTCAAGTGACTTCAAGGCTGCTTATCCATGGACTGCACTTTGAGTGCCAAGATTATGTAAGACCAAGATCAGGCAAATCAGTTAATGAAGCCTTGGGTCTTTGCCTAAAAACTAAGTTGATAAATGACATGTGATTTATCACCCTCTTTGGAGATCAAATATGGCATGACTGTGTAGTAATACTTTATCCAAATTTAAAACAGCTTCTTCAAAAATTGTGTTTTTCTTAAGAGATGGGATAGCAGGCCCCCGATAGATTGTCAATGGGGATCTGATGGACCAAGTCTTAGGCAGACTTTTTCCCTTGGGGGGAAAAATTACTGAGCAGGGAAGTTTCTGGAAAAGACACAGATAATTCATGCCAACAAGGATGTTATTGGTTGGTGGTGAAAAGCAGTCACTGTAGGGTGATGCACCAGAGGAGGCAGGGAAGGCTGATGAGAGCTGGGAGTGAGCATGATGCTAACCAAAGAAATCACATAGGTACTGGCTCCAGTGGCAGGACCTGAACAGAGAAGGGATTGAAAAATACTGCATTTTACGTGGTTTCAATCATAGTGAATCCCTGTCAAGAAAAGCATCACTAAAGAGTTAATTTGTTCTTGTTCGTTGGTTCATTCACTTATCAAAATTCAGTGTTTATTTATTTGAGAGGTAGAAAGATATACCAACAGAAAGATCCCATGCACTGGCTCACTCCACAAGTACCCACCATTGCTGGGATTGCACCAGGCTGAAATCAGGAGCCAGAAGCTCAATCCAACTTTCTCACATGGGTGGCAGTAACCCCATCACTTGGGCCATTACTGCTCTCTCCTAGAGTGTGTATCAGCAGGATGCTAGAGTCATGAGCTGGAGCCAGGCATTGAACACAGGCACTCCAGTATGAAACATGGGCATTCCAACTGGTATCTTAACCTCTCTGCTCCATCTTAATATCAAAATTTATTAAATTTCTATTACATGTCCAACTCTGAAGGCAGAGTGATAATAGTTGACAGTCAAAGCCCTGTACTTCAGATGCTTATAATAGCTTTCATGATATGTCATTGAGAAGAGACCTATTCATCAACGAATAGGGAAATTTTTTTTTTTAAATTTATATTAGTCTCTTTAGGGTTGCCATAATGAAATAACAAAGACTAATGGAGTTAAACAACAGAAACTCACTTTCTCATAGTCTGGATGCTAGAATCTCAAGATCAAGGTGTTGGCAAGTTCGGTTAATCCTAAAATCCCTTCTCTTGGTTTTATGATGGACATCTGGTGTGTTCACATAACCTTTTCTCTGTGCATGCGCACCTGCGGTGTCTCTTTGTTGTAAGAACATCAGTCAGCATTAAGGCCCCACTCTTATGATTTCATTTAACCATGATGAACCCGTCAAAGGCCCTAGCTGTAAATAAAGTCACAGTAGGGGTTAAGGCTTCCACATAGGAAGTTTGGGAGAGCACAATCTAATCTATAGCATTCACAGTGTCTAGGGTTGACTTGGAATGAAATCTCAGCTCTTTACTTTGCCTACTCTGTAATTTTGGTCAAGTTGTTGAATTTCTTAAAACTCAGTTCCTTCTTCTGTGGAAGTGACCGTGCTACATTTGCTAGTCTACCAGGAAGAAAAAAATGTAAGTCCTGTTTGTGAAATGCCCACTGATGTCCAGTACTTAGTGGGTCTCCCAACCTCACTCCCTCCATCTCTCTTTAGATGCTGATGGAAGGTATTTAATTTTTGCTTTGTTTGGGTGACAAATTTGATCATATTACTTCTTCCACAGAATCTAATAATAAATCACATTGTTTTCTGTCTCTGAATTTCACTACTTTTACCACTTGTATCACCACCACCAGAAGCACAGTATCTACTGGAATCTTAAGTGTTAGAATGCAGAGTTGAGAACAGGACAATGTGGACCTTTTGAAATACCTCCTTAGTGAGCGAAAGTAGTTATTGTATTTCCCATAACAAAGAAATCAGAAAGTTGGCTTGAAATTGCCATTTTGTATAATGTAAAATAGTATAAGCAACACAGCAGAAAATAAAACTAAAATGTCCCAAACATTAAATGAAGCAACAAGGATGATTTTAAATGTTCTGGATCATTTCTAGGTTACCAAACCAAGATGCTGTTTGCACAATATTTGATACACAAGAGATATTTCATTTTTAAAAACATCCAGGGGCCGGCGCCATGGCTCACTTGGTTAATCCTCCACCTGCGGCTCCGGCATCCCATATGGGCACCGGTTCTAGTCCCGGCTGCTCCTCTTCCAGTCCAGCTCTCTGCTGTGGCCCAGGAAGGCAGTGGAGGATGGCCCAAGTCCTTGGGCCCTGCACCTGCGTGGGAGATCAGGATAAGCACCTGGCTCCTGGCTTCGGATCAGCGCAACGCGCCAGCCGTAGCAGCCATTTGGGAGGTGAACCAACAGAAGGCAGACCTTTCTCTCTGTTTCTCTCTCTCTCTCTCTCTCTCTCTCTCTCACTGTCTAACTCTACCTGTCAAATAAAAAAAAATAAAAAAATAAAAATACAAGTAAAAAATCCATTTCACCAGATACAATATCAAAGTTAAAAAAAAAGCCAGTTAATTTCTTTCGCAGTTTGACTTTTTTACAATATGCCTCAAATGGCACAGGAGCCATACTATGGTAGAAAACCTGTACCTTTGTTGAGTCTGGTGTCTGTCAGCAGGTTTCTAGGGGCATCTGATCATTAGTTGAGCTGAAACTCAATTATTCAGAAGTGCCCCGTGTTGCTAGCAGCAGCTTAGTGTAGCAGTGAAAGCTAACCCAACTGTGTAGGACTGGGTGAGTTGAGGAGTGTTTAGTTGCCTGGGTTTCAGGGTGAAATGTTCAAAGCATCTGAGGAAGAGTCATGTAGCATATTAACCACGCAAGAGACATATGAAACACGTTTTGTTAATGGGCAAAATAGTATTATATTTAACTCTGGGAATGTTTCCGAAAGGAATCAGCAAGCTGCCTTTAGATTATAACAAGGAGCCTGTGCTTAAATTCCTTTTCTTCTGAGTCATTCCCTTTCCATTTTAAATACCTCCACATCCACTTTCAGGACAGGTAGCTTAATCTCTATCACGTGCGGCTTGTGGAGCATTAGCTTTGTTTCCAGTGCCAATGGTTAAACTATGCTGGATGTACTTGGAACAGCCTGCAAAGGCCGGCATTCATTCAGGAAACTCCAGTTGAACTAGATCCATATGTTGCCTAAAAAAAGTGTAGCTTTCTGATTGGAGGTGGTTTCTGGCTTCCAGCATTATCACAGATGATTTTTGTTCTTTGATGTGCTACTAAAGAGAAAGTAATGCTAGAACTAAAACTCTGGGATTTTTTTTCTTAGTTAACATTTATGGAGAGTTTACTAGTTCCAGCATTGCACTGCATTAAGTTAAGCACTTTGCACACATGGTCTAATTTAATGCTAACCATAGTCCCAGGAGGAAGGTGGTATTATCTCCATTTATCTTAGGGCTTGGGTCAGTTAATGAACTTTTCCCAGCTTCAACAGTTTGCAAATGGAAATATAGGTTTTTCAAAGTCTCTAACTCTCAAGTCAAAAAGAGAAATAAGATGTTTTTGCAGTTATCATCTGTGATGCCCCTGACAGTGGTACCATCTGAAGAATGGGGTTTCGTAGGGGAGATCTCTCCAGAGACTGATTCCTTCTAATACTCATTAAAATGCATTTTAGAAATCCAGGAATGTCTCCGAATCCTGAAGTGACAGAAATTGCTGTGTACAAATCATTGGTGTGCTCCTAGAAAAGTTATTGGTAGGAGTCATTCCCTCTTGGTACAAATTACATTGATGGGATTGATTTATTAATACAGATTCCTAAAACACGTTTCCAATTTACTTCTAGATTCACCTTTTCTTTTTATCCCTTTTTCTCAGAGTTTTATACAGTTTGGAAAGGAAGCCCGTTCCCTGTGAATTTAATGCTTCTCCAATTATTATGGGGTAAAGGACAATATTTTATGTACTTTTGTTTTATTTTCCATCCATTGTAGAGCAATACATTTATAAAATGCAATAAAGGCAAATTACTTAAAATGAGATACAAAAGACACTCAAAATGAAAACCCCAATTATTTTTCATTAGTTTCAACATTCCACATTCCAGTGTTAGCTTCAGGTAGGGTCTGGAATTCTTTATGCATGTACCTCCTTGAGTTGAAGTGGTTACTGTATCCATGTACCCTTCCCTGAGAAGTCTCCTCGGGTTAAGCTTCCATGGTTGCCACAAGGGAAGCAGCCCAGCTACTTCCTCTGAGATGTTTTTGCCTTTTCTGCCTTAGAATTTTCAAACTTTGTATAAAAATAAATTACCCAGGACAGCAAAAGTTATGCATTGGCAGACCAGGAGCTATATTCATTCAGCACACAGATTGGTTTCTTTTAGCCTGGCTGGGAATATTTTTGAAATGAATTATTGTCAATAGTTAAGATTGAAAAAATTGGCTGGCGCCGCGGCTCAATAGGCTAATCCTCCGCCTGTGGCACCGGCACACTGGGTTCTAGTCCCGGTCAGGGCACTGGATTCTGTCCC